GAAGACTGACATGCTGTGCCGCAAGAAGAACAGAGGCAAGGGTTGGTGCAAAAAGAAAAAAAGGAGAGAAGCAACATTAACTGGGAGACGGCATACAGGGATGCAGCAACCTTGCCCCGATCTCAGCTGTGCTCTGCAGCTTCCCAACTCTAGACAGCAAAGCAGAACCTAAACTCCAGCAATATTACTCTGGAGTGGAGGCAGAATCCCATGTTTGTATCCCCATCCCACAGGGAAGTTCACCAGCCCTGGTCAAGTCATTCATTCAGCCAAAACTATCTCACAGGGTTGTAGTGAAGCCAATGACACCGCTTCAAGAGCCTTGGTGGTAAGGTGAGATACGACGAGTGACTGAAGTACATATTTTAGGCATGTGTATGCAATCATCTCCCCTGTCAAAAGTCCAGCCCTGCCCGACCCCTTTTCTTTTGCTTTTTTTAAACCTTAGCAACATTAGTTAATGGGCAATTCAGCATACGCCAATGAGTAACAGCCAGCAATTCTTGCTTTCCTTCTCTTCATAATTTAACTCTCAGGTGGCTGGGAGGAAGGTGGTGAAGAAGAAGAGAGAAGGGGAAGGGGGGGTGTCTGATAAACCTCCTTCAGAGTGTCCCCAAACTCCCTATTCCCATATTTATTTTTTACTTAGGACATTTTTAGCTCAGCCTTCCTCCCAGGAACTCAGGCTGGCTTACAGTTCCCTCCTTACTCTATTTTATCCTCACAACAACCCTGTAAGGTAGGTTAGACTGATAGAATATGGAGCCCAAAGTTACCCAGTAAGCACCCATGGCAGAGTGGCGGATTCAGAGTGTTCCAGATCTTAGTGTGATGCTCAAGTGACTACATTATACCCCCCTCTTAGATAGACCAGCACTTGGTGCAGATCTAGAGAGACTTTTGATAGAGGAAAATCAGCAGATCTCCAGACATATAGCAAAATTCTGCTTGCAACTGGTAAAATTTCACAATAAGAAGCAGATCAAGTAGAATCCTCATTTACCTTTTGCATGACTCATAAGTAGTTTAGTTTTAAACATCTTATAATTATTTTGATATAATGGACTGTTAAACTTTTCTCCTTTTAATATTTTGATGACTTTAAAGTTATATCTTTATTTTTAGAGTTGAAAGCTAATTTGCTTGTATTTAACATGTATTATTTTTGATAAATGGTCTTTGACCACAAATAAACATCATTCATTCATTCATTTCACTATACCATCTCTCAAAAAACCTCATCTTTATGGCTTATATTCTCAAAGGGCTCAAGCATGGAAGGCTTCATACTGAGGCAAAAATAAGCCTAAACACATTTTGCATTTCTTGTTTATTTTGTGCCAACCATGTTTAGGTTTGCTCCTCAAATCGTACATGCAACTAAAACTGCTCCAGCTCATTACTATTTTTTACAAAACATTCCTCCTCTATGGCTGGGCTTCCAACTGTTGGATTCTTTAATTCCATCAAAGGGTTAGGTTTAAAAAATGGAGGATTAAAAAACAGCAAACAGAGGCAGGGAGGAATATAAATTTCTGGCCTCTTTACCCAAACAGTCACAACCCCAAGCCCCAATATACTGCATGCTTAATTGTCAGGTCTTTAATATTGCAAAGTGCATATTAACTGGATCATGCACTATACCACTCCTACCTTGATGTCTCTTGCTTCTAAAAATCTTCCCCCTCCCAATCCTGCAAACCTTACCTTCCCCCTTTGACCCACATTTACTCTATCTTTAGTCTTTGTATCCCATCTCGATGACCATGCTTTAACCACCAGTTTACAGATCTGCATGGTGCTGTGGTTAAAATATATGGGATACCTGAAACTTCTTGGGCACCCTTGGGCCAGGTGACTTCTCTGAGCCTACCCTACCCCACAGGATTGTTGTGATAATAAAATGGAGAACGGGGGAAGGCAATGTACGACGCCCAGAGCTCCTTGAAGGAACAGTGTACTAAATATAATAACTTTTCAAACATGCTCTGGATAAGGATGCCAGCCTCCAGGTGGGGCCTGGGGATCTCCCGGAATTAAAGCTCATCTCCAGACAAGAGAGATCTGTTCCCCTGGAGAAGATGGATGCTTGGGGGGGGGGGCTCTAGGGCACTGTGTCCCACCGAGGTCCCTGTCCTCCCCAGGCTCCATCCCCAAATCTCACGGAGTTTCCCAACCTGGATCTGGCAACCCGAGCGTTGAGTCTGACTGAATACTAGCAAGTAGCGCTGCTGCCAAAATACACTGCAGCTTTTCTGCTCTTGGCCAGCCTTTCTTGCCTCTCAAAACCTCCCATTCAGATCATCGAGCCTTCATTTTCTGTCCTGTCACCACCCGCCACCCCATGCGGCCCTTTGCTGTTCCTATTACCTTTGTCGTCTCTGCTTAAAAAGGAATTTAAAAGGATCTGCATTTGGGAACGAGCGTGCGTGTGAATAGCCATTCCTTGGGACTGAAGGGCAGAAATAATGAATGAGCAGCCTGCAAATTAACGTAGGGTTCTTCTGTGCAAATGATGAATATTGACACACACACCCCCCACCGGTTCAGCGCCCCCCAAGTTCACCCCCTCCGTAGGCTAGTGAGAAAAAGGGGCGGAGGGTCTCTTACCTGCTGGGCAAACCCAGCTGAGGCGCCACCTGACCCGGACGAGCTTCCTCCCCCAACCGGAAGTGCGTCCTGCCCGACTGCGAAAAATATTTCATTTCAGTTTTCTAAAATTAAAGCCGCTTTGATACCTTTGGAGTAAAATAGATGACGTTTAATCATTTCTGTAATGTCACGATATGGGGAAGAGCCAAGCCCGTAGGGGGCGTGGCCAACCGAAAAAGGGAGGGCTTGGCTAAATGCGTCAAGCGGGATTCTAAAGGGAGGATCACAGGCGCGACCTTGCGAAGGGGCGGGGCTAAAGGGAGGGGTGTGGCTAATAATGCAATAGGGGGAAATAAGGGGAGGGTTGAGGAAAGGCGGAGCTGGGGGTCTTTGCGGAGGGCCAAACAGGCTGAACTTGTTCATGTCTGGACAGAATGTATTTTAAAATTAGCTTGGAATCCATTCTGGGCACAAATAACAACGGAAAGGGAGGATTTTGGAAAAAATATATAATAATTAAGGCCATAAATTCTTCTTATC